AATTTTTATATTATTACTGTGCTTTGCAGAAATTAGAGTCATTTTAAGCTGTGCAAAAGCTCCCTTTTGCTCTCTGAAGTGATTGACGATCTATTAGAAGAAGATAGGAGGAATGGTGGCTGGAGTACTTGACGTAGAGGGAGGAAGACATGAGTTCAAATATGGACCCAGACATTTACAGAGTTCTTCAACCACACCCTGCATGTTTGCACCCACTAAACATTTTTCATGATGTTACCTACCATTAGTCTGGAAAGACTGCATCTTACTATTCCAGTTTTGTAGGATTCAAACTAACAATTTGCTTTAAGACTGTAATTTCAATCAAGTGCAGTATTTAACCAAACTAATGCATACAAGAGTTATGAGAGGGTGGAGAGGGTAAGGAATTGGGGGCTGAACGCAAGTAAATGTGGAAGAGCAGCTTCTTTAGAAATTATATTTCATTGTGTGATGCCCCCTTAAGGAGCCTAATGTTCTTCTAAAAGCTTTACTTGTTTTATTTTTCTGCATTCACATTGGTACATCTTGGTACTGAAAATGGAATTCCTGCTGCAGGCGGATCTTTGAGCCTGTCCCCTCCTAGAACCCCTCCAAAAATGTAAAAAAAAAAAAAAAATCCAGTGCCTGGGGACTTAGATGCAAAAGTCACTTGTAATCTAGTATCTATGGATTTGTGTTTACAGGCAATATGTGTCTGGTGTCTGAAAACCATGCTTTTATAGGAAATTTATTGCATTGAGCTTTGCATTGTTTACTGATGTTTATCAACTATAAACAAGGAAACATAATTACAACATGATTCCCAAGTTCAGTGAATGTTTAATCAATTTATATTTATTCATTCTAAATTAAAGAGCAGGATAAATTATTTTATTTTTTCAAGCAGCCAAAAGCAGGTATCCTCAACTGAACAATGGGAGTTGTGGGAAATATTTTGGTTAGCTACTGGGCTGATGGGACTTAAAAATGTGTATGTTAAACTTGGGCGAACAAGAACCCCGGAGACTATTTGAAACAGTGTCTCACTCTCTCTGCTTCTCCTTTCGCCTCCCCCCTACCTTTTGAGCTTATTTAAAGAGCTGTTGTTATTGTGACACTCTATCGGCCAAATCCACTTCAGTTGGTTGAATGTTTTGCATAAATGCTTGTAGCACTGAATTTTGTAGTCCAGAATGTGCTGCTAATGAATTGTCATTAACTTCCCAATGAAAGAATGCTGCTAAATAAATGAATTCAAGAGCACCTCCTTTATCCCCGCAGTCTTTTAGAGATACAGCAAAAAAGGCACATTTTAAAATGTGAACAAAAGCCTCTGTAGCAGCCTAGCTTTTTTCCTTTTTTAATACTTAATTTATTTTTAGTTTTCAACATATATTTCCATAAGATTTTGAGTTTTAAATTTTCATCCCCTCCTTCTGTTCCCCCTCCCCAAGACAGCGTATAAGCTTATATAGGTTCTATTTATACATTCATATTAAGAATATTTTCACATTAGACATGATGTAAAGAAGAATTAGAACTAATGGGAGGAACCGCAAGAAAGAAGAAACAAAACAAAAGAACAAAAGAAAAGGAGAGCAAATCGTATGCTTCCATCTGCAGTCAGCTTCCAGAGTTCTTTCTCTGGGTGTGGATAGCATTTTCCATCGTGAGTCTTTTAGAGTTGTCTTAGATCCTTACATTGCTGAGAAGACCTAAGTCTATCAAAGTCAGTCATCACACAATGCCAGCCTAGCTTTTTAAAAAAAGATTTAGTACTTTATTTTTCCCCTATTACATGTAAAAACCATTTTTAACATTCATTTTTCAAACTTTGTGTTCTAAATTCTTCCCTTCCTCCTGCCCTATCCCCCTCACTGAGAAGCTAAGCAATTCAATATAGGTTATACATATGTAGACATGCAAAATATATATTTCTGTATTAGTCATGTTGTGAAAGAAAACATAAACCAAAAAAACCCCTGAAAAAGTAAAGAAAGTAAAAAAAAAAGTATGATTCAATCTGTATTCAGACATCATCAGTTCTTTGTCTGGAGATGGATATCATTTTTCATCATAAGTCCTTCAGAATTGTCTTGGATTGTTGTTTTGCTTGGAATAGCTAAGTCATTTCACAGCTGATCATCGCACAATATTGCTGTTACTTTGTACACAGTATATTTCACTTCGCATCAGCTCATGTAAGTCTTCCCAGGCTTTTTTTGTTTTGTTTTGAGAGCATCCTGTTCATCATTTCTTATAGCACAATAATATTCCATCACAATCACATAGCATAATTTGTTCAGCCATTCCCCAATTGATGAGCATCCTCTTAATTTCCAACTCTCTGCCACCAGAAAAGAGCTGCTATAAGTATTTCCATACATATAGGTCCTTTTCCCTTTTGTTTTTTGTCTCTTTTTGGATACAGACCTAGTAGTGGCACTGCTAGGTCGTAGGGTATGCATGGTTTTATAGCCCTTTGGGCATAGTTTCAAATTACTCTAAAGAATGATTGAATCATGTTTATAACAGCTCTTTTTGTTGGACATTGAAGGGATGCTCATAAATTGAGGAATGGCTGAACAAGTTGTAGTATATGAATGTGATGGAATAATATTGTTCCATAAGAAATGATGAGCAGGTAGACTTCAGAAAAACCTGGAAAGGTTTGTATGGACTGATGCTGAGTTAAATGAGCAGAACCAGCAGAATATTGTACACAGTAACAGCAACACTGTGCAATAACTAACTTTGATAGACTTAGCTCTTCTCAGCAATGCAATGAAGTAAGACAGCTCCAAAAGACTCATAATGTAAAATGCTATCCATATCCAGAGAAAGAACTATGGAGTCTGAATGCAGATCGAGGCATACTGTTTGCTATCTTTTTTTCTTCTTGTTGTATCTTCTTTCTCATGGTTTTTCCGATTGATTCTAATTCTTCTTTACAACATTACTAATGTGAAAATTTAAAAAAAAATGGTTGAATCAGTTCAGAACTCCACCAACAGTGCATTAATGTTTCATTTTTCCCATATCCCTCCAGCATTTGTAATCCTCCTTTACTGATCTATTAGCCAATCTAATAGGTATGAGGCAGTACCTCAGAATTGTTTCAATTTACATTCCTCTAATCATAGAAATTTAGAGCACCTTCTCATATGGCTATACATAACTTTGATTACTTCATCTGAAAACTTCATATCTCTTGATCATGTATCAATTGAGGAATGGCTCTTATTTTTATAAATTTGACTCAGTTCTCTATATATTTGGGAAATGAGGGCTTTATCAGAAAAACTTGCTTCAAAACTTTTTTCACAGTTATGATTACTAAATGTATTTCCCCTCTATCCTATTCCCCCTTCTCACTTATTCTATTCTTTCTTTCCTTTCACCCTGTCTGTCCTCAAAAGTGTTTTGCTTCTGATTATCTCGTTCCTTGTATCCACCCCTTTTCTTATCCCCTTCCCCTCCTATTTTCCTATAGGGTAAGATATATTCCTATACATAATTGAGAGTAAATGTTATTCCCTCTTTGAGCCAATTCTGATGACAGCAAGGTTCATTCACACACACCCCCACACCTTCCCCATCTTCCTCTCTACTGTAAAAGCTTTTTCTTGTTTCTTTTATGTGAGATAATTTACTCCATTCTACCTCTCCCTTTCCTTTTCTCTTAGTGCATTCCTCTCTCTCTCACTCCTTAATTTTATTTTTTAGATACCATCTCTTCATATTCAACTCTATATATAATCCTTCTAACTACCCTAATAATGAGAAAGTTCTTATGAGTTACAGGTATAATCTTCCCATGTAGGAGTGTAAACAGTTTAACCTTGTTAAGTCCCTTATGATTTCCCTTTCCTGTTTACCTTTTTTATGCTTGTTTTTGTATTTGAGTCTTGTATTTGAAAGTCAAATTTTCTATTCAGCTCTGGTCTTTTCATCAAGAATGCTTGAAAGTCCTCTATTTCATTGAATATCCATTTTCCCCCCTGAAGGATTATACTCAGTTTTGCTGGGTAGGTGATTTTTGGTTGTAATCCTAACCCCTTTGCCCTCCAGAATATCATATTTCAAGCTCCCCGAGTAGAGAGAAGGTGTAGGATCCGAGAGATGTTGAGGAGGTAGAATGGACAAGTATTGGCAGTTAATCAAGTGTGAGAATGTGTGAGATTGAAAGGACAAAGATGACCCAGGTTGCACCTGGGTGTTGAAAAGAACGGTGCTCTTCTCAACACCTAAAAGAATGTTAGGGGACAGCTAGCGTGTAGGAAGAAAGGTGATGAATTCTGGTTTGCCCATGTTAAGTTTCAGATAAGTCCACACATCCAACATGCCTTCCATGTCCAAGTGGAATTGTTAAGCCAGCATATGTGAGAGGTGAAGGTAAGAGATTGGAGCTCAGGAGAGATAGATTTGCATTATCTACATAGATGTTAGAAGAATCCATGAGAATTAATGAAATCAACAAAATGTATATAGAAAGAGGAGAGGAGAGTCACAGAATATTAGAGCCAAAACAGACCACACAGTCTAACAGCAGCCTCATTTTACAAATGAGTAGACTAAGCCTCAGTGAGGTAAATTGATTAGCCTCAGGCCAAACAGGCAATTCACGTCAGGTCTGAGATTCAAACCTAGGCTTTCCCAGTCCAAATCCAACACTCTTCACTCAACCCCCACAGTGATTTTTCTTAATATAAATAAGGCATATTACTTTGAGGATGTCTCACTTCCGATATTTACATACAGTTTGACTCATCGAGTTAGAACTGGAGAATGTTCACAAAACCTTTGCTTCCTCACTTTGTATATTCCCTTTGTATATACTTGCATATGCATGCAGTTTATCCTGCTCAGGGTATTCAAGACCGCTGGGAGTGTTATAAATTCTTGGAATATTAAAGTGAACCTTGTACTGAGCATAGCATGATGCAACACATTAGATGGGCATGGGAATACTATGTTATTGCTAAGGCCTAATATCAATGTTTTTTTTTCTGCTAAAGGACTTTGTTATTATGTTCCTGCATCATCTTGCAACCATCTCCCTAATCACCTTTTCATATGTCAACAATATGGCCCGAGTGGGGACCCTGGTCATGTGTCTCCATGATGCAGCTGATGCCCTGCTGGAGGTGAGAGCCCTTGGTCGTCTTTTAACATTGCAAAGCACCTAAGTCAGTAAGCCTGCCAAGCAAGCCATAGTTATTCTGTGTTCCGATAAGCTGGCATTTTGGAGAATATTGTAGTTATAAGTAATTCTTGCTTTGAAGCTTCAGAGCATTTCCTTATCAGTTTAAACAAAATGCATCTATAATTGAGTGAATAAAAAGCTTTATGCAATAAATATTTTATCATGTTAGGGTTTTTTATTAAAAGTGTAATGAAACTTTTTTTTATTTTACTATTCTACCCTTGCTATTAAAAGATATTGCAATGAGGAAATCATAATTATGGTTTCCTACTCATAATTTTTTTATTGTTTTCCTGCTCATAATTGACTAGGCTTTGTTTCCTTTAGTTTAACAATGCATTATAAACTGTAATGCTTTCAACAGGGCTTTCCTTTTTCAATCCTCTTTCTCTCAGTTTTAAAGGGGGTGCTATGCATGGAAAGGGTTATATAATGGTTGCAGTTCTTATTACCAATTTAAATATCAACTTGTAGTATTCAGAGTATGATGTATACTCAAGCAGCAAATTGTATGTAAATATTGGAAGTGAGGCACCCCCAAAATAGTATACCTTATTCATATTATGAAAAATGCCTGGAAGGATATTAGTTTATAACTCACACAAACATACATCACAATAACATCCATTGGGTATTCACACTGTTAAACAGGAATAATTTAGAGGAGGTTTGTTGTTTTTGTTTTTTTTCCTCCCAAGGCACGGTATTTATCCCTAATATCTACTGAATAATTCCTAGGATCACAGAGTTAATGCAGGAAGGAACTTCAATGACCTTCTAACCTAGCCTCTCATTTTACAAATAAAAAAATTTAGGCCCAGAGAAATTAAGTGATTTGTCCAAGTTTGGGTGGGTAGCAAGTAGGAGAGATGGGATTTGAACTTTCTAAATCCAGCACTCTTGCCACTGTACCTACTGCCTCTCAGTGTTCAAATTCAATCCTTGTTCTTAATTCCTAGAGTACAGACTCAATTTGTTTTATTGGTTAATTAAATACTTCACTTTTAACATGATGTTGAAGATTTCCTAATGAGGAAAAAAATCAATGTAGCTCAGTTCAGATTTCAGTTGGATAGACCCAATATACCTTAAAATCTACATTGTATTGATGAATTCCTACTAGCTGTGATACTACAAATGCTACAGAAAGTAGTCCCAAGCCCTATTAAACATGACTTATATTATATAAACTATATAATATAGAAAATAACATGGAGATGAAATTCCAGGGAATGACTCTATGATAAAGACAGTGTTTCGGAACTTGAAAAATATAGCATGCTTTAGTAAAGAATTTAATCTAAGAGATGATTTGTGGTACAAGGGAGAGTTCTGGTACTGGAGTCAGAAGGTCAGAGTTTAAATTCCACATCTGTTGCTTATTACCAGTCTCGGAAGAGTCATTCACCTTCCCTGGGCCTCAGTTTACTCCTTTGTAAAATCAGAAAATTGGACTGGATGGCCTCTGAAGTCCCTTTTGGCTCTAGATCTACAATCCTATGATTTATAAGAGAAAATTCATTCTAATAGAATAGATACCTGTGTTAGTAGTTCTGCTGGATAATAATCCAAAATAAAATATATTCATAATAATGTTTTGCAAAGGAAGAAATAAGCCCAAGGACAGCTCTTGTAAAATCAGTCGATATTTGGTTAAAACCTAAGTGCCCTTAGAGATGGGAAATCAGGTAGCAACTTGCAGCTTTGAAATCCTCTTTATGCAATCTTCTGTTTTTATCTAGGAAAAGAAATAGTGGCAGGTTGAATATTGTCTAAAAAGAAATAGATTTCATAATCAGCATGGGCATTGGACATATAATGTATGTCCAAAAATACATACTTAGAAAATCCACTTGCTTCATAAGGCATGAGAAATTCTGTGTTTTGGTTAGGTCAGAAATAAGCAGTAAGTTGTCTTTTTATTTTTTTCATTCAATTTAAAGAATTCTAATTCTCATTCTCTTTGTTAGAACAGAAACAAGTCATTCAACAAATAAGTAGTTCATTTGCTTAGATGCCATTTCATTAATAAGTATTTCCTCTGGCCTATGAAGTTCTCTTATCACTTTGTGTTTCACTTAAAGCAGAGAAACTATAGCACTTTAAGTGCTAGAGTTAAAAATAAATGCTGTACACTGCATTTGTTTGCCAACCCATGTAAATACTATCAACAAGCCTTTGACATGGATTCAGCTAATGGTATCTCTCTACAAAATGGAGGATGATATCATAAGTTCATTGGTACCTTGAGTGTATAGCCCTTCATTCACATCCCTGAAAATCTCTTTGTAATATGCAGGAATGTGTCCTAGATATAACATTCATTGTTTTATGTGCCTCACTACTTTTACCTTGAAATATTTAACTATTTCAGAAGTATTTGATTAAGAACAGCTCATGCTTATGAAACACCTATAAGCAAGATTTTGTGCTAGGAGTTTACATTCTACTGGGAAATCTATCTATACACACACACACACGCACACACATATATACGTACATGTGTATGTGTGTGTGTGTGTGTGTGTGTGTGCGCGCACGCACGCGCTTGTGTTGTATCAGAAAATTTGAAGTGGCAGAGAATGCTAATAACTGGTAGGATCAGACAAGGCTTAACAGATGAGGTGGCCCCTGAGCTGCCTTGAAAGAAGATATGAATTTTGAGAGGTCAAGATGAAAAGAGAATGCATTTTATGCTTTTGCACAAATATGTAGGAGGGAAGTAGAATGTTTAGAAAATAGTTAGTTTAATCCAGATCATCAATGAATTTTTCACAAAGTGAATGAATGTAAGGAATGCAAGATTAAGGCATCTTTATCATCTCCGTGTATAGGCTGACTTGTAGGGTAAAAGTGCCCCAAAATCACATTATTAAATTATATTAGAGTGTATCTCACCATCAGTCACTTCCCAGCATTGGCGAGCCTTCCTTTTAAAAGGAAATAATGTTGAACTTAATTTAGCTAGTTGACTTGTGAGAGATTCATGACATGATTTTGGCTTTTTGTTCTTTGTTTCAAAGTTTATGATAACAAGTCAGGGAGCATATTCCCAGACTATAATCATCATACCCATAAAAGGACAAGCAAACATTTAAGTGCAAATGGTCAGAGACAATAAAGCCCAAAGATTCGAGATAGTGTTGGGTAACTTCAGTACTTGGATTTCCATTATTTTTTTAATGGGATTATCCAACATCTTTGATGCCAGAAAGCAATAACATCACCATATCAGCAAGAATATCCCCTTCTTCCTTATCTTAACTCAACCTTATGATTGAACTTTTTCTATGTGACAGAATATGTAACATTTGAATGAATCAGTATATTCATTTATGATGACGGATATATCTCCTGTAAACCGTAGATGGTTTATAAATATTAATGCCTGGCACTTCAAATCCATCTGCATTATGATGCAGCTGGTCAGTTGTGGCTTGGGAAAAGTCTCTGCATATTGATAGAAACTTTTCATTTGCCAGTACCACTAAATTAATGTCACATTTCTTCTATCTACAGGCTGCCAAAATGGCAAATTATGCCAAGTTTCAAAAACTGTGTGACCTAATGTTTGTCATGTTTGCAATAGTCTTCATCACCACAAGACTTGGTATATTTCCTCTCTGGTGAGTAAGCTAATCTTCTTTCCTGAAATGATTCAGTGTTACAAAATAGGCTTAATTAACACCATGGATAGTGATGAGCTGATTTTTCTACAGAACTGGACTAAAATAAGGGAAATATGGGTTGGAAAAGATATTTAATCTTAAGTAGAGAAAGGCCAACTCCTGTCAATATTTACCACAAGACAGGACAGGGAACACATGAGATATAGAGAGACTCTAGACACATGAGGTTTTTGTTCTCTCTAAGAAGCCTGAATTCCATTTTGGGAGTCTTAACTGCCATAGTAATACTCTTAAAGCACAGATCTAACCGTGACATTACCTTGCTCCCAAACCTCTAGTGGTTCCCCATTGCCTCCAGGATAAAACTCAAATTCACTGGTTGGTTTTTAAAACCTTTCACAGTGACTAAAGACTGCATTCCAGACAAGTTAAGTAGTTGCTCCTCATATGTGATATTCCTTCTCCCATCTCCATGATTTTGTACAGATTATCATCCCCAGTCCCTCCTCACCTTTGTCTCGTAGAATCCCTACTTTTCTTCAAAGTACACCTCAAATAACACTTCCTAAATGAGAACTTTTCTGGATCCTCCCCACCCCCCCGTCATCAGGGCTCCTCTCTGAAATTACCTTGCATTAGCTTTGTCCACATGACATTTCCCTGTCCAAATAGATAGAGCACTGGCCTCAGAGCCAGAGAAGGCCTGAGGTCAAGTCCCATCTCTGACGTATGCTTGTTTTGTGACATTCAGCATGTCACTAGAAAGTGTCAGACATGTGCCAGTAACACTTCCAAGTGTGGCCTGAACTAGAATAAATAAGTATTTGGGAAATATTTAACAAAATAAAAATATAATTGAACACAGATAATGTTAATATGTGGTTTTCTAAGTCAATATGCAGCTATAAAGATCCTTATGTATAGGTTAGGGGCCTCATTTCTGTTTGAATTTGACACTGCTGGTCTAGACAACTCTCTTAAGATTACAAGTTACAGAGAAAGAAAGTACTGACATTCATTGGTAGAAGAAGTTTCCATATACAGGAGTTCCCTATATGCATGAAATCACATTTATTTTTATATATAGGTGTTGTTTTTCCCAAGAGAATATGAACTCCTTAGTCCATAAAGTCCAAAAATATTTTTAAGCACCTACTATGTGCCAGGCACTGTGCTAAGCACTGGGAATACCAAAAAACCCCACTTCCTGTCCCCAGGGAGCTCACAGTCTAATGGGGGAGACAACATACAGACAGCTACATACCACAAGATATGGGCAGGACACATCGGATATAATCAGCAGAGGAAAGGCACTAACATTAAAGAGGGTGTGAAAAGTTTCTTGTGGAAGGTGGATTTTAGCTAGAACTAGAAGGAAGCCAAGAAGCCCAGAGGTGGAGATAGGGTAGCAACTATATCTTTTTTGTCTTGATTTAGAGCTCCCATGGTACAGTGTCTAGCACATAGTGTTTGATAAATGGGTATTGATTGCTTTCCTTGAAATTGAGAAACAACTTCCATTTCTGGTCAGTGTCAGGCAGAGCAGACTTTCCTAGAATGCAGAGCCCAGAAGAGTAAGAATGAGTCTTGGAGGAATGAAGATGTTGTTATTAGTACCTCCTGTTTTAGTTACACAAAATCTCTTCCCCGAGTACTTGCTGAAGCTATATAAAGAATGAGGTCAATATTTGGTCAACCCTGTACCCGCAAGAGAAGTGATGTTGCTACCATACTGCTTGAGTATAGCCAAGTTTTAGGTAAGCAGCATCTAGAGAGAAAGAATTTTATTCCTTTATTCCAAGAAAGAAGCATATGACAGATGTGCAGTTGGATGCCTAGGGAGTGACATTTTTCTCAGTGTGCCCAAAGGTTACTTGTTGGGTAAGTCTTGGTTAAAAAACCTGCTTTTACTTCCCCTCAAAACAAACAAACAAAAAAACTGCAATAAAATTAGGACTTATTTTAATTTCAATAGCCTTTGTCACAGTCGTTTTCCTTCATTTCAGGAAACCATTATTTTACATGCTCAGTTTTTAAATTCTCTGCAGACCATAGATTTACAGAATCTTATAGATTTACATAACACAATGGGAAGAGCAACGGCTCTGGAGCTGAAGACTTGGATTTAAATCCTACCTGTGTGACCTTGAGCAAGTCTCTTTATCTTTCTCTGTCTTTCTCAGTCTGTCTCTGTCTCTGTCTCTCTCTCCCTCTCTCTCTCTCTCTCTCTCTCTTCTCTCTCTCTCTCTCTCTCTCCCTCTCTATCTCTCTATTTCTCTCTCTCTTTCCCTCTCTTGGAGGCAGTCAGAGTTAAGTGACTTGCCCAGGGTCACAGAGCTTGAGCAAGAATCTTAATCACCCTGAAGGGGGGGGGATGAGAAGAATAAGCATTTATATAACACCTACTATGTGCCGGGCATTGTAGTAGGTGTTTTTACAAATATTACCTCATTTGATCCTTATGACAACCATGTAAGGTAGTTATTACTATTATTCTCATTTTTCAGTTGAGGAATCTGAGACAGTTAGAGGTTAAATGACTTTCTGGAGGTTAGGCAGTTATTCAGTGTCTGCTTGTTTTTAAATAACTTCTTGTCTCTTTTAAGTCATATTCCTCAGAACAGGGGATCTTAAACTTTCTAATTTTTATTTTTTATCATGGACCCCTTTTGTAGTCTTATAAAGTCTATGAATCCCTTCTCAGAATAATGTTGCCCACATTCCTCATAGAAGGAAATGCTAAATTTCATTTAGAGGTTATAGAAAATAAAAATGATTTTTTTCCCCATCCAAATTCATGGAACCCCTGAAATCTACACACAAACCCCTTGGAGATCTGTAGACTCCAAGTTAAGAATCATTGCTTTAAAGTATCTGGTCATGGGATTATATCCATCTTTGCTTTGAAATTGCTAAAATATACTTTCCTACAGCTGAGGGTTCATGTAGATGTATTTCACTTGAGACTTCTAAAATACAGGGCTGGTTCTCCTAAGGTTTCCAACCTTCCCACATCATTAACCAGTTCTTTTTTTGTGAATCAGAAATAAATTCAAAGTAATAGTAACACTCACAGCTAGGTGGCGCAGTGCATAGTGCAGGGCCTGGAGCCAGGAAGAATCATTTTAAACTCCTTAGTTTAAATCTGGCCTCAGGCACTTACTAGTAGCTGTGTGACTCTGGGCAAGTCACGTAACCCTCTTTGCCTCAGTTTCCTCATCTGTAAAAAATGAGCTGGAGAAGGAAATGGCAAACCAATCCAGTATCTTTGCCAAGAAAAAAACCATGGATGGTATGGTTCACGGGGTCATAAATAATCAGACACAACTGAACAATAGCAAAGAATTAACAGAACTTGCCAACTTGTTGGATGTCAGGATTCAGGGGAAAAGTCAAAGATAACTCTAAGACTTTAAGTGTAGGTGACATGGGAGAAGAGCAGTACCAGGAATAGAAAAAGGGAAACTCAGAGGAAGTACAGGTTTGAAGGGAAAATTAATACTTTGATCCTGACCAAAATAAACCCATCCATCCTGGCAGTTTTTTTCTTTTTACCATTTTATTAATTCGTGTCATACCAGTAGTTGATTTGGCTGTCTTCAAGACTTAGTATGGGGATGATCATGATGAGTTTTAAGTTGTTTAATACCTATATGAACAAATTCTTTTTATATCTTTTGTCTTATTATTACCCTATTATCATTATGCTTTGAGTATCTTTGTGAGTGAAGTGTATGTATTTAGTGGAGTATACATTATTATTATTATTATTGTTGTCCTATTATCCTTTGAGCATCTTTGTGAGTGAAGTGTATGTATTTAGTGGAGTATACATTATTATTATTATTGTTGTCCTATTATCCTTTGAGCATCTTTGTGAGTGGGATGGTTTGTATGTGGGGAGAAGGAGGAACACCATTATTTTCTTGTTTTTGATGGAGAGCTAACTGAAGCAGAGAAATTATAGGATGTGTGCGAGGTCGTAAGGCCTTGGCAGAGCCAAGACCAGGGCCCAGATCCTCTCATATCTGTTCTGCTTTCAAGTTCAACAACTATGGAGCATCTTTCTGCTACACTGACATCTCTTTCAAGGTCTAGTCTACAAAAATCCACATTATACTTTTAGTGTGTCTACACACAGACGCAAGCCATTTAAAAGCTGTTTCTGCTTTCATCCACTAAATTGACCATGTATATTGTGGTTCTGGGCATTCCCTTGTTCAGTGAGAAGTTGTAATGATGTGTTATAGTTGATGCTAATTATAAGATTAAAACATCATCTCTGTAATCATTGCACATTTTATGATAAAGAGAAGTATCTGATTCTTGCTAGTGCTGACTCCAAGTTCTGTTTTAATCACTGCTTTTTGTGACAGGCAGCATGATATAGTGGATAGAGAGCCAGTTTTGGGGTCAGGAAGGCATGAGATCAAGTCGAGCCTCTGATGGCTGGCTGTATCCTGGCTTTGTGATCCTAGCCTAGTCACTTAACCCCTCATTGCTGTAGGCAACTCTCTAAGGCTATAATTTGCAGAACAGTTCAGCTACTGATCTGCATTGGTGAAGGTTTCCTTACAGTGACTGCCCTGCAGAAGCACCTGAGAACAGTGAAGTCACAGGCCCAGTGCCTATCGTGGGTACTCACTAAGCAGATAACATGGAACCATCACCAAAAAGCCAGGGTGAGTTCATCATAATTACTGCAAGTCACTGGAGCTATTCCCTGCTACCAGAAAGAACATTGTAACTGATAGACTGCATTCTCAACTTCCATTCATTTCCCCTGCAGCTCTATTTCTGTGCTAGCCCATTAGCTGGGTAAACTAGAATGAATGTCATAACTCTGAAGTCTCTGCATGTTACCAAGTACTCTTGCCTTCAGAGGCATCAGAGGACTTTGAGATCCTTTCATCTTAACTCTGTTCAAGCAGGGCAATGTTGGGGGCCTTATTTTGACCTCGAATTTATACCTGTCAGCCTCTATCAAAAGGGGTAGG